GGGGAGGAAAGAGAGAGCGAGAGGCAAAGACGGACAAAACAGACAGAACAGACAGATCAATGATTACTGCTGCTAGACAAACAGGAGATCACACTGCATGACGTCACTCAGCCAATCGACACCTCCAGAAAATAGAACACTGACGTCACCACGTACCACCGTTACCGCTAGATGTACATGACGTCACCCTGGCCGGCCCAGGCCTTGGGGGGAAGAGGTTTGCTTTTGTACATCTTCCACAGCTCCGAGATGAGGTCTCCCATCACCACAGAGTTGGAGTTCTTCAGGACAACATGCAGCACAAACGTCCCATCACGGCGTAGGTACTGGGGAAACGGGTCTGTTTGTTTATTTGTTTGTTTGTTTGTTTGTTTGCTACTCAGTACAACGACGCAGTGGCGTCGGCAGCCTAGTGGTTAGGCTGCCGGACTCGAAGTCGTGAGATTGCAATTTTACACGAATTTCCCATAATTTGGCTCGGTCCCTTCGAAGATTGGCGTTAAAATGTTGAGGTCCTGCCTCTTATTAATATTACTTAAACAACCTAATAGTGTTGAGGTCCCGCCTCTTAAATAACCTATTAGTGTTGATTGGGGCGTTAAACTTGTACCATTTCACCATTTTTCCCACAACGACGTAGGTGATTGGACGATGCATGCATTTATGTGAATGAACGACTTTTATTTGAAATAACCATACTTGGTACTGTGGACAGGGGCTCGCCTATTTGATTTAAATGACACTTGTTTGGACAAACGATATTATCAATTTTTGTTAATTCACTATTCTTTTTGGATTAACGTGTTTTTATTTTAAGTCGCGATGATTGAAGTAACGACATTTGTTAAAATCAATTTAAGTAATGATGTTTGAAGTAATGAGGTAAAGATGTTTGAAGAAAAGATGTCTGTTTGAAGTAACGATGTCTGTGAAGTAACGATGTTTGTTTGAGAAACGACATTTGTTTGAATTAATGACCTTTTGTGTGAAATACATTCGTTAGAGGTAACGACTCTTGTTGGAACTAACGACTTTTATTTACATAAACGACATTTGAACGACCAAACAATGCTTACGCAAATCAATGAGCTCCATTTGAATCAACAACATTTGCTTGAATAAAAGACATCTGTTCGAAATAACTTCGATATCGTGAAGGCTTGCATCAATTTAGGCAGACGTGGAAGAAAAAAATCTCTCTCTGTTTGAGTATTAAGAAACACGTCGACTCATTAACAAAAGACAGACAGATAGAAACAAAAGAGGGACCAAAAAAAAGTAAGACGTACCAGAATCCCTCATAAACTGCCCACATGTACCACAATCAGTTTGAAAATTTTACATACACAATATATTCAGTATTGCCCCAAAATATAAAAGACGAGTTAATGTTTGAGAAAAAGACGGCAAGTCTCTGTAAAGATTCTTCGACTTCTTTCTCTCCCCCCCCCACCTCTTTCTCTCTCTTTATCTGTCTCTCTCCTTTTCTCTCACTCATTCTGTTCCCTTATATTATTCTCTCTCCTCTGTGTATATCGAATGGCATAAATGTCTGCGAACCTGTGAACATAACATTATGATTATATGACACTATGAGAAAAACAATTTCAGAGAGGGGTGGGGACAGGGACGAGATGGGGATGCAGACAGAGTGTGCGCAAGAAGGAAGTACATGTGTATACGAGTCAGAAGTGGTATTAAAAAAAAATTCCAGACAGCTAATCTAGTAAGAGGAAAGCATAGCCCTTTTTGTTTCAAATGCACTTGACTTTGTGCTAAGATCAGGAGTCGCCGTGAGGGTCAAAGTGGGGTTGCAATTTGTCTTAAAAGAACAGCAAATGAAAGGCTGGGTTCCTCGTGATGTGCAAAGGCAGGGTTTATTCTTGGCATTTTAAAAAAATTTGAATTTTTTTCCTTTCCTTTCAGAAAGAGGGAGCAGGGGGTGTAACTTTATTCTTACGTAATTTCTCCGAGCCTGAACTAATATGCTTGGCGCTCATATGACCTTATGCAGTTGCGACCGCCGTAAAACCTCTACTTAAAAAAAAAAGAACTAATACGTACCTGGGTCCCAAACTTGACGGCCATCATCCGGTCGTAGTCGGTGATGAGCTCGCCACGGGCGGTGAGGAACTTGTTGATATCCACGTAGTTGGCCTTCAGAGAGGAGAGGGAAAGCCATCATGTTTTGTTTTTATTTGGTTTTTTTAATATATGTATATTTTTTAAAATTTCATTTCTTACCCCTGCAGGACCATATATGCCATATTTAGCACATCAACTTAAAACAATGATGTTTGAAAATAGTTCGCCTTGATGGGCCATAATTCAGTTCTCTCCAATCGACCAAGTACAGTCAAAATCATCCAAGACGGCCACCAATTATCGAAGAGAAAAGCCGATATTTTAGACAGATAAACGTCTTGGACAGTGTCATAATATGGAAAGGAGAAAGTGAGAAGTGGTCGTTTGTGCAGGTGGTTGTTAGAGCAGGTTCAACTACACTTTGCTTTCCGAACGATTCTATCTGTATCCAATGCCAGCGGTAGGATGTGTTTCCCTGAACCACTTTTTTTAAAATATGGGCTTTTTTAAAATGTAGATTTTTAACCCCCACCCGACCCCCAACATCAACACCGTTTAGAGCATTTAATTTAATAGGCGGGCTTCGAACCGGTCTGTCAGGGCCAACCCGGGCTGAGAGTGATACAATATCCCAACAGAAAGGCTGAGATACTCGATAAAGATTCTCCCCACTTGGAAATCGAACTCGGGTCTGGGGGTTCTCGTGGCCTAGAGGTTAAGGTGTGGCCTCTCATTCAAAGGTCCCGGGTTCGAATCCGGGTAGCGACCGAAACATTTTCTACTCTAAAATTGTCTCCTTTCATCTCCTTTCCTGCTCTTTAGCAATGTTCCGTCGTCGTCTGCTTTCGTCTCCACTTTCTGCCCTCACCCCTCACCTCCTTTGCCCCCTTCTCTGGGCTCCTGACTCTTTCTACAGTCTTTCTACTGCTACTCCTTGGCTCCTTCTTTCAGCCACACCCCTGATCTTCTAGTAGAAAAGACCTACATCTAGCCTTCTCGGACAAGGGCGAAAAATCAGGGAGGGCCTGTGTGCAAGTTGCGCACGTTAAAGATCTCTTGGTGGTCTAAAATCGATAAGAGTAGGCTTCGGCCGCCACCCGGGCAAAATTCAAAATTTCCTACTAACTGAAAA